CGCTCCGCAGCTCCAGTCGTTCTTATCCGCGCCATGTACACCACCTAGCTTAGCCTGTACATCATCCAGCTTTCCAACACCGTCCAACGCAACTGTCTGGCACATCACAAAATACATACCCGCAACAACACACGTCGTTTCGCCAAGATGCCAAAAACATCTAATGGTCAGCACCTGTACATCACAGGCATGAGGAATCTTCAAGAGCTAGCGTACGAATCGGAGTCCGAGGATGAAGAATCTATCGTCCGGGAGACCCGTTCCAACACCTCGTTTGGAGAGATCATGGCCCAGGCTAGGACCCCTCGCGATGTGGTCACGGAAGACAGGAAGAGGTCAAACACAGCAAAAGAGAAGGAATCAGAACGATCAGATTCACGAGCAGACACTCCAAGGTCACGGGTGCAGGCCAGTATGCCTGATTTGATCGGGCTGAGTCGTGCTCAGAAGGCCCCACGAGAGAACGACCAGTACCACCCGGAGGACCCCCTCCTCAAGCGCCATCCATTCGCAGTCAAGACTACCAACCATCTGCAATTCAAACGGGACCAGTACTCTTCCGTCCCATTGTGTCAACACTTGGAGTTATTTCTAGACTGGAACATGGACGATCCCGACAACCGAAAAGGCTCATGGATTCTCAACATTGAAAAATACGAGGACCCCTCACCTTGGTCAGAGCATCAACATTGCGCTGGCGTAGATGTTACTAAGATGGCTGATGCCTTGGCGATGAGGATAATCAAGAAGTTTACTCGACTAGACAATGAACGAGTGAGCCGAGACTTCGACCGCGGAATATCGTGTCGACGACCTCCGGCGAAGCAGCGCTTGACACGCGAGCTATGCAACATGTACTCTCAGATCCACCGTGGCAAGGAGAGCAAGCTTGTCGATAAGAAAGAAGCGCTTCGCGAGAGCCTCGATGCGGCCCAGCGGCGCAGAGAGCTGGCTGGGGAATCGCTGCTGCGAACTCAGAAGTCAGGCCAAAGCAGCGGCGCCGCAAAGCCTTGCAAGAACGATGTATCAGAAGCTCGCACCAAGTCATCTTCAGCTTCAGTCTCAGGCTCATCTCCTTCTACAAGGAAGCGTAAGACACCGAAGCAGATTGCAGAGGAGAAGGTGGCTCGGAACCGGAAGCGCAAGGGGTTGAGCGAGATTGCTAGGATTCGCGCTAAGCCTGTCGACCGCTTCAAACCAACTACGGTAGATGAACGAGACGCCCGATTGGCCGGTGTTGCTCAGCAGGTTCGACCTGAACGCGCGACGGAGACAAAGAAGAGCCCATCTGTGACCAAGCCCTCGTCGAAGTCGAAAAAGTCCGCGGTCGCCATCGATCCTGATGAAGATGTCGAGACCATCCCTCGTCGCCGCGTATCGAAGAAGACCACACTTCCACCAGCCCCAATGTTCTCTGACTCTGAGAATGAACACAGTGAAGGAGAAATCGTCACGAAGCGCAACGCGACTACAAAATCAAGATCTCAACAGATGAGCAAACCAGAGCGCGCTCTCCTCAAAGGCATCGCGAAGGCAGAGCAAGAAGAACGCGAAAGGTACGCCCAGGATGAACCCGAACCATTACCCACATCTGAAGAAAAAGAAGCAGCATTCCGGGCTGAAATTGAGGCAATTGGACTGGCACAGCTCGCTGCTCAGAAGCGGAAGTTGAGTGAAACGGAGGATGATACACCGTCTCAGGTCTTGTCTTCTTCGCGACTGATTAAGAAGGTGAGGAAGAATAGCGTTGCGAGAGAAGTTGTATAGGCTGAGGAAGGAGAATACGATAGATTGGATAATCTGTCCGAGGAATATGAAAGTACAGGCTTCTGGATACCGGGGGTTTATTCGAACTTGAGGCTTCAAGTAGAATGTGGTGGTTCGCGGTGAAACGTTTTGTCGCTTCTAGAGTGTGATGTCGTTGTACACCGTAGCTATCTGATAGTCATATGAAGCAGCGATTGACTCATTCAGACACTTTCGTATCCATCTAGCCCGTCTATACCATTTCCCTGTTCATGACATCACATCAACATCGCTTTCTTAGTCCTTCTGCCCCTCAATCGCCATCGTTCAACCGCCCTGGATACATATCCACCAACACCCTCACTTCTTCCATGAACCTGATCTCTCGTTAGCCTCAGTCACATCAGTCCAGCCTAGTTCCTCCCCACTCATCCATCGACATACCTTGTTCTATTCTCAAGATTCTCAGGAAAAAGTGCACAATCATGCAGACAACTCCTCCTACAGACATCAGCACCAAAGTCCCCAGCATACGCGAGCCGTCAAGAAAGGAGGGGGAAAGGACGCACAAGTGGTACAACATAATCCTCGCCTCGAAATCCTCACCTGGGCATGTAGGGGGACCGTGCTGTAGGTAAGCATCCCGCTGTTCCGTGTCAAGAGTTCTGAGATCATCTGTGATTTACAAATCAGCCTCATCTTAGATACACCACCATCTGCCTGTATCGTCATCAGGGAAAACTAAGCTTACATTCTGCATGACCCCAGAAACAGCCCGGGTCGAAAACCACCACTTTTCCATCTTCACCCTCCCGCCCACTCTCCACAACCCCAACATTTCCCACCCATAAATCCCCGTGGCAAAGCGAGGGCTTGACCTTCCGCCCATCCATCTCCATCGGACGCAGCAATCGAGGAACGACCTTCTCAAACAAAGGCTCCAGTAACTCTTCCATTTCACGCGACCGCGGACCGCCTGCTTTCTCGTCGTGCTCTAGCATTGTCTTCATGTTGCGCGTGAAGTATTCTTCCCAAGTGGAGGTCCAGATATTGTCTTGGGCTAGGTGGCCGTTGTGTGTCGGGACGTGGTAGCCGAAGTAAGTTCCTTGAGGGCGTTGGTTTGCGGTGAGGTCTTTGAACTTTTCTGCGCTTTTGGTGTGGAAGATGGCGAGGCGGTGGACTAGGGTGGATATGTTGGAGATGGTGGGAGGGCGCATGGCGAGGAAGGATTGGATGTAGAAATAGTACTTCGCCTCTTCGTTCGCGTTGTCGTTGTCATCGCCATCTTGATCACCATCTTCCTCTTCTCCCAAAACTCCCCAACCCAAACCCTTAACACAGAATCCCGGCATTACCCTCTCGATTTGCGCCGCAGACTCACACTCTCCCCTGACCATACTCATCCCATTCTCGCCCTGCGCTATCTTGACGAAGTACCTCCCACCCCGTCTCTCTGCGCCTTGTTCACCTTCATGTCTTTCCTCATCCTCCTCATTTGGATCTCCACCACCCTCATGCTGAGCCTCAGCATTGTCATTCCGGGCGCCATTGCTACCCTGTCGAACGGAAGTAAAAATCGTGTCGATGCGGAAACAAATCGTCCAGTTACTGGTTCCGTGGGGCGTGATCCTGACTATTCGTGTGTCTGGGGGAAGAACTGAGTGCCCGGATTAGAATCAAGTAAATGTGTTGTGACTGCTGTTGGAAATGCCTCAAAGCTGGCGAGCTAGGTAAAGACTGTGGTGACGAAAACGACTAACGTACGACCGCGGAGTGTCGTGGACTTAGCTAGGAGGGTTTCTAGCTTAGGTCGCTTGGATGCAGTTACCCCAAGGGATGTAGACATCTTGGCGGGAGGGGAAGATTAAGGCAGGAATACTAGGTGGTCACTAGTAAGAAAAAGTATACCTAGATATCTTCGTAGAGGAAAGAAAGTACCGAGGCGACTGCGGTCAAACCTGGATCTTGATTCACGCCGTTTCGTTGACTCAGGTCTTGTTCGTGAAAGACCTTGCTGTTCGCCATGCGAACAAAGCAGAGAGACCGTGTCATGAGGCACAGTAAACACCCCGCCCTGTTCAAATCAGCACACGTTATTATCATTCTCCTATGCCACCAGCTGCGAAGTCGACATACTGTACCATGTACTAAGGAACCAAGTTAGGTACCAACTTTATGTCCATACTCCCCGCTGCATAATCCACCAGCACAGCCAACCTTGGAAGTCCCCGGTACCACATGACCAGTATCCGCGGACATAACTACCGAATTCCATGCCATGTCCATCTTGCAACACACCTAGATACCACCAACCTCTTCGCCTTTCCATCATCGCAAGCACCCCTTTCACTCCTCCTCTTCCTCGGAAGAAACATAATCCCAAACGCACAGACAAAACTTCCACCCAGAATAGCACCCCCCGAAACAACCGGCTAGGGTCATAAAACTTCCCGGAAGGTCGAAGCGGAAAGAGGGGGCGCGGGAAGAAGCAAGTCACCTGCGAAGTGGATATGAACAGCCGAGTCATGGTGTGCAGACGGGAAGAAGCAAATATGCCCCAAGTGGGTTGTCGGGGGCCAAGCGTAAAACACCGAAAGAAGCATGGAAAGGTGCCCAGGTGTGAGGAAGAAGAAAGCAAGTATGGTAGTCATGGTAATCATGGTGAACATACAATAACTTTGGTACGCGGTGTCGTACAGGTAACGAGCTCAAGTTCAATGATCTTCGTAGCATATGAGGAAATCAGATTGACATTGTACTGTGTTGTTACATTTCCACATAATAACGTGCTTACTAGATAGCGCATCCGCTGACAGTTGTTACATCTGAAGCAAGAAAAGAAGTAGTAAACAGTTGCATTCAATGAGCCAGAATCGAAGAATCGAAGAAGGGAAACGCCTATTTGCACAGATCGGCCTCTCCTCAGCCTTGTCCTTTCGCAAAGAAACCTTGAAAATGGGAACGTAGGGAGAGAAAATGCTCGCATCAATACACACACTTCAGTCAAGAACCGTAGAAAGAATTAATGGTTGCACATGCTTAATCCCCAATCTGCGCCCCCCGATCCCGCCACCCAAGTTTCCCTTGCTACGCCATTGCTTACTCCATAAACGTGTATATTGGTTCTGTCCCTTAGGTATCCAGCCGTTTCTTTCTGTCTCGCTCGCTCTCTTTCTAAAAAAGTAGTAGATTCATCAATGGTGGGAAGCGTTGTTATTGTGGTGGTAGAAGGGCAAATGATTACGCCTCGATTCCTATATCTCGACGGTCTTGAGGTCTTCCGCCTCGGTGGCAGTGACGGGGCTCTTCAGCGACGAGCGCGCGGGAGCGGTAGTGGTTGCGGCAGGGGCAGCTGGTTTCGTGTCCTTGTTTTCCTTGTCATCTTTGTCATCCTTGTTCTCCTTGTCGCTGCTGAGGCTATCACGTGGTGTGGGCAGGCGGGCGGCAGGGAACTCGTCGCTCGGTCGCGGGGTGTCCATGGAGATGAGGTTCTCCTGGGGAGTCGCGGTCTTGGAGTCGAGGTTGGTGTGTACGCGGATGGGTGCTGGGTTCTCTTCTGCGACCCGGGCTAGCGGGCTGGAGAGCTTGCCTCGTGGGCTGACGCCCTTGGGCGGTTTGGATAGGCGGTGGGGGCTTCGGCCGCGGTCTTCGGGGCCCATTACAGGGCTGTGGTAGGGGCTGCTCGCAGTGCTACTGGGGACGACCATACCCGGCGCATTGGGGTTGACGCGCAGACCGCTGTTCGGGCGTCTCTTGGGTGGCCGGCGGCCGTGCTTCTGGTCACACCGCCAGCGGAGGACTTCTAGGTAGGGCGGCTCTACGTTCTGGCGCTTGAAAGCTAGCAGCTTCAGTTCGCCCGTCTCCTCGTCCATGGACACGTCTTTCGAGGCAAAGTCGTCTGCGATCATGGCCAATAGAGCGCCCCATGAGCGCGCGACAACGTATTTGGTGTCGTAGTCGCGGCCGAAAATGATGATCTGGCCCCATTGGCCGTTGGGACCGGGAGCGAGATCAACGGCAAGGTAGTTGCCTCCCCAGTCGCGAGCGAGAGGGATCCATGCGGGGTGGGCATATGCCTTTTGTACGGCGCCCTGGGGCTGTGAGTCCTGGCGCGCGAGGAGGTCCTGTCGCCAGAGCGGGTTGCCTGTGCTCTGGACTGTGGCAACGGGGGGAGCGGTCGAGGAGCCAGCAAAGGCCTTTACTGGAATCTGCGGTGTGCGGTAGTCGACCTTTGTGGTGAGGTACTCCTCGGCGACCTTCCGCCAGTTCTTCCACTCCATGACAATCTCCTCGCAGTCGAGCAGCATGAGACCGAAGAGGACACCAGTCGGCAGTCCGCCACGCTCCTGGCCATCGTGGACCTGCAGCGACTCGCGGATGTCCATGGGCAGGGTCGCGTCGAGCTCGTGCTCCAGCTCGTTGACGTCGTTGGATGTGCAGCCCTCGCACATGTTGTCGAAGAGCTCTTGGTAGTGGTCCTCGACCCAGCGGTCGATGCGCCGCCACGAGTGGCTGACGGGCGGCGGCGGGGGCAGGCCCTCGTTGAAGTCCTGCATGGGGATCTGGCCGTTGGCGCCCTGGGGGAACGAGTCCGAGTCCATGGTGGCCTGGCGGCTGAGGGAGCCGCGCATGCCGGGCGAGTAGGGGGAGCTGGGGGACATGGGGCCCTTGGGGGAGCCGATGAAGCCATTGCTCGTCGCGAGCTCGTCGTGCTGGTAGGGCGAGTGCAGGTCGGTGCGGGACTCGGCGCCGCTGGCCGTGATGGAGGTGAGGGCGGCGTGGCGGCTCTGGGGGATGGGAATGTGCCGGCCGGTGCGGTAGGGCGAGTCGTGCGAGGCGTGGCGGTCGTACGACGTCATCGTGTGCCAGAAGTCCTTCAAGGACGCCGTGATTCTGCGCTGCTGTTAGCCATCATGTCCAGGTGCGGCGCGGGGGAGCGGCGCCAGTAAGTCCGGGGGCTCGTACTGTTGTGCCATGGCGGTGGTGGTGGGCGAGGGAGCGCGGAACAGCGAAAAGAGCGTGAGGGTGCGCTCTGCGCTGGCGGGCTGTGAGTGTTCCGGGGCTCAGCGAGTGTCGGGCGGCTTGGAGCGCTGGGGGATTGAAGTAACTTGAGCTGCGTCGGCGTGGCAGGAGCTTGAATTGGAATCGAGAAAACGGATTGCAGGTGACGTTAAGGGGTGCCGACACGCCAAGACAAAGCTCGACCGGGATGGCCCTGGACCGATTGACGAGCGTTGAATGCGCACACTGGCCCACTGCTTCAGGACAGGAGCACGCCAAACCGTAGGGTGAATGATTACAAGTCTACAACAGTAGTGTCGTGGTGCGGTCGTGAGGACGCTGGTTGTGTTGTTGTTATGGTTCGTCGCCTGCATAACAAAGCCCTGCAACCACTCAACGCCGCCGCTCCCTCCTCTCCTCACCCTCCACCCTCCCCTCTCCATAGCCAACTTGAATTACCCCCGGCTTTGCGGTCATTAAGTTATTAATAGCGCTTAACACCCCTAGATATCACAGTTGCCACCCAGTATCACCACGACCAGACATCACTTCCTTTTACACAACCAACAGCTTGCCGTGGCCAATTCACTCCCTCCCCTAACCCCCATGCGGCCCATTGTCGCCGCCTCACGTCGGCGCCGTTCGTCCAACCGTGGGCCTGTTTCAGACTTGGGCGGCGTCGTGCGCGCCAACTAGAGGCTTTGCCGGGTGGCTTCGCTTGCTTAGCTTGTTATCGCTCCCTTCCCCGTTAGGAGGTGCAGCTTGCATCTCTGGCGTCGTCCAGGCGGTGTAAAACGAAACAGAGCCACTTTTATGCTCTCGCCGTGTCTTGGGAAAAACAATCCCAATGTCCGACACTTCTGCCGCACCTATGCTCAAACGCGCCAGCTCGGTCAAACGCTTCGGCCACGTACAACAAGCAATTTCTAGCAAGTTCCAAAGCTGTAGATAAGGCTGACCGGCGTGGCTTGATGCGCGCCTTGCTATTGCGTCTTCACTCACCAGCTACCGCATCCTTCGACGCAGATAATGCGCTCCCCCCGCTAAGATCTCCAATTTCCGCCATAATCTCCCAAAGGGTCCAGCTAATGTCGGTCCATGATGCGGTCAGCAGAGTTCATGACGTAGACCGATAGTCGGCAAGCACGTATTGCACATGTAAGATTGACGGCCATGCACTGTGTCGAGCGAATGCGAGTGATCAAGTGTGGCCTTGGATTGCGTTTCAGATTAACATGCCGGCGAATTCCGCCACACTGTGATATGTAGCCCTGATTGCGTCGCAGCCTTAGCATCCGTCATGTGCTACCAGAGCCCGTCCTTGAACTCTGTACCCCGCCAAGTGCCTCCTCCTCCACTAGTAAAGCTTCGTATGACACCCCTTCGAATCACATTCTTGCCGCGCGACCGGGAACATGCGTTTGTGCGAAATTCGCCGTGAGCAGCAGCGGGGTGCGGGGGTCGTGTGAGGCTGTTTGCTCATACTCCTATTTTTAGGCCCCGCCCTCTCTCGCCACATCGCATGGTAACCGATGTGGCTATTGTGGATACATTGTTCTTCCTCCATCGCAACCTCTGGCCTCGCCGCTCGATCTGCGACGTTCAGTTTGGCTTCGGGGATTTGCCGCACTAGTTGGCCTGATCTACCCCAGAGTCGTATTGCCCGCCGCGTGGGTCGGATACGAGCTGATGCGCGTTGGGTAAGCGGCCTTCGTCCCGACCCGGCATGTAGTTGGGAGGCGCGGCTCCGTCTGCTTCTGGCGCCTTTTCGTTTCGCTTTACTCAATTCTTGAAATGCTTTATGCTGATCTTTGGGTGAGTCAGTATCATAGATGAATTCCTTGAGGTTGATGCTGTGTGGAACCGCTCTGCTCGTATAGCCAGAGCGTTGCGCTAACCCAATGTCTTGCCCAAAAACTGATTGAGCTCCTCCTGCAGCGGTAGCACGATATTCTCGACTGCAGATTGGAGGCAGTCGGCATTCTGTAAGCTAGCCATGGGACTGCTGCAGTATCCGATTGCACTTTGAAACGCAGCAGACATCTCTTCAGCCTCATTGCGTGACCAAGTATGCACTAAGGTAAGCATTTTCCACTGTTCTGGCACTTGTGCGTTTGCAACTTCGTCTTCAATCTCAGATTTCCGGTATTTCTCGGCTGTTGTGCCGAAGTAGAGCTCAAGTAGTGCTACGGCCAGCGCGAGGAGTATGTTGTTCTCGAAAGTCACTGGCTTCGGTTTCTTCTCTCCGTCTTTTGGAATATCGAAAAGGCTTGGAGCGAGATATGGGCGGGTGATGTCGATTGGACGAGTAGGATCTGACGTCCGATGGAAGAAGATGTCCCGCGCAGTCCATTTGCTAGCGAGCCATGGAGTTGAGTTCAGGTAGAGTATGCTGGACGCCAAGGTCAAAGCTAGGCTGTACCTCTCTTTCTTACTCAGCTTGGATTTCTTTCCGTTGATCATTGGCGGACGTTCTAATAAGGTCTCGAGCGATATCAACTCTGTACTGGGCATGTATGCGTCTGCGCTGTCAACCGAGTAGGCGCCTCGTAATTTGCTCTTGCTGTTCAATGAGAAGCCGATAGTTGAAGACGTCTTGTGTAGTTGCTGGATCGATGCACATAAGTCGCTGACTTCTTCATAAGAAGGCAAGGAACTTGTTCCGGGATCTAAGACTGCATATGGAGGAAGTGATCCGAAGCTGACGCTCTTTGTTACCCTGGGTTTAGGAGAAGGCATCGGTGTGAGACAGCCCTCCTCTTCTTCGTCGTCTACATGGAATTCAGCAGCCTGGAACAACCAGGGAGCTCCATGACTATCCGATGAGATGGTCGAGAATGAAACGTTGAAACTTGTTTTCGCCGAGTTGTACATTTTGTGATGTTTTGACGCGAATACGCTCTCGCGGGGCTCAAGCTGCAGGCTCGCCGTATGGGAAGACTTGCAGGCGCAAGACCAGCACAAGTTGAGCGACTCGTGTAGAATCTTGGCGTATCGTTGTAACTTCTGTAAGCGCGTAGCGTATGACGGCTTCGTAGCCTTGTGGAATGTTTCTATCTTTTCGCTCTTTTCCGTGAATCTTTCCAGCTGTCGGTTGCATTCGTCAAGTTCATCGAGAAGCCCTTTGACGCTCTTTTTGTTCATAGCGAACTTTACGCGCTTGCCGAATTCGAACGTGTCGTCAGCCTTCTTGGGATGTGCGGCGAGAATTGCCTCGAGATCGTTCCGTGTAAGCTCAGCCGCTTTGTCCAGGTCCAGTTTGTTTGCGATCTTAGTCATAATTCTCTCGATCTCCGCCATGGTGTTCTGGTAGGATTTGTACGTGTTTTGAAGCTTCTCCTGAAGCGCCGTTTCCTTGCTCTTCCATAGCTCCAGCGAAGCCCTGGGATCAGCTGTCATCTTCAGCCATTCGGCGTCCGTCGTAATGGATCCGAAGAGAATCTGGATGGTTTGATTGAACTGGTCATGCTGAGCTCCAAGCTTTCTGATGAGTTTGGGCAGTTCCTTGTCCCATTTCCAGAACCCCTTGACAGGATCGAGTCCTTCTTTGTAGGACGTTATCGCTAGCACGCGGTCAGCCCGTTGTTGCTACGCATTACTCGCTTCAAGGACGCAATTCACCCTGTATAATTAACGGCAAAGCGCCAAGCACAAGACCGGCGACTTCGATGCCGCTCATCGTCGCGATTGCCTGTTCTTCGAATCAATGGCGATGTCGCGCGTCATTGGTTGGCGACGGAAGGAGCGAGGGCCGAGCGGGGTTCAGGGCTGTCAGGCAATCACGCGAAGAACACGGCTCCCAGCTAAAGCATAATGACTGCGTTGCGAGCGATAAGGCAGAGGAGACATGAGGGTCTCATTCCGCGAGCAACAAGAGTTTACGACAGCAGAAGGTAACACTGCCCGCGAGGCGCCTGAACTGCGCCCCCACTATCCTGAAAGATCCTAGCATCGCAGCCTTCAGGCTGCACGCTGACAACACGAGTGCTGACTAACCGCCTGCCATCTACCATCTCATTGCAGTCGAGGTTGTAGTAACAAGAGCATCTGCCTGCCGTCCTTTCGTCGGCATCAACGACTCAGTTGGTTTGGGCTACCAGTAGCTCAGCGCATCAACAACCACTCCAGCGTTGGGGTCGTGCGATCGCCGCCGCACTTCAAGGCTCCCCTCGCTTGCGCCTGCTCCGACATGCCGAGCGCCCATAATGTCGACCCTTAGGCTTGCGACAGCTTCCAATGTACGCGCTTTCCAGATACTGACCGAAGCTCTCGACGCAAGCAACGGGAAGTGGTCACAATGGATTGAAAGCGAAACACTCGACGACGAGGTCGGAAGATTCAGGGTGTGGGCTGGCAACTTGGGAGCGTTGCAGAAAGGCCACAGCTCGCTTGACTACAGACTGCGCGGCTCCCCAGTCTTATTCAGCAGCGCCCTCAGACTACTGAATGAGCTTGAGCAGAATCTGAATGAAACATATGCTATCGTTTCTGAGGCGCGCCTGCCTTATGAACAGCAAACGCCATCGGAGGGTTCTGACGATGATAGCGACCGTGGCTCGTCCAGCGAGGAAGAGGAACACGACTCTGACAGCGACGAGCCTAGAAGCGAGTTGCGGATGAGATATGAAGAAATCGTGGACATCATCGACAACCTCTACAAGCTCAGCGTCCGCATCAGGACACCGACCGTACGCTCAAGATCGCTCAAAGCCTCTGCCTACACGTCAGTGGATCCAGAAACTGGTGTGGATATCCTCGGTGTGTACGCTGAACTGGATCGAAAGCATGTTCGAGAGCTGCTCTCGCAGCTACGGAAGACGCATCCTGCACAGAATGAGGAAGATCAGGACTTCTTGACCGAGCGGTTGAGCTCTGCTATTACATTGCGTAGGCGGCATTTCAAGTATTGGAAGCGTCGTAAGTTCGACAAGTAATATTGCTGCATCTTGCACAGTCTGACTATGGTAGATCGTGATAAGTTGGGCGCTTCCGCAGATTCCGAAGACATAGCAGATGCTGGCAGACCTACAGCAAATGAAGCGCCAGCTCCGATGCGTCATGACACTCTTGAAGCTCACCCAGTACGTACTATTCCATCAGCTGTCTCCTAACGCACTATTTCGAACGTGATCTAACTTCGGTCTTAGCCGATGCCAACGATCAATACCCCAAAGCCGACGCCGAGCCAAAAGACTGGGAAAACCTTGCTATCTGGTACAGAGGCGACGCACCATCACCAGTCTCTAGACGATATCGTGGACACCAAATCCGTGACGAGCTACGCGGTCACCGTGAAAGACTTGGACGGAAAAGGTATCGATCTACCACCCCCTCCGAAGGCTGCTACATGCGACAAAGACTTCGAATGCCCGTACTGTTGGATCGTCTGCCCTGCACGATACGGTAAAGGACGAGCTTGGAAAACCCATCTGCTACAAGACCTTCAGCCTTACATATGTACATACCGAGACTGCGAGAGTTCCGAACTGCTCTTTCGTAGTCGTCGGGAGTGGGCGGAACACGAAGCGACTCATCGCAAGCTATGGCGCTGCCCCGAACACGTGAACGCCTTATACAGCACCCAAGCTGGTCTTGAAAATCACTTTCGGCAGGAACATATTGGTAGCTTCCCCGACGATCAGATAGCTATCATGGCTAAGATCGGAGAAACCATAGCTGTGGACTCACGGGATAAGTGTCCGATCTGTTTCGTGCCCACGGTCACTGAAGGCTTGGGTGATTTGCAGAGCCACATTGCAAATCATCTGGAACGTCTGGCTACTTTTGCCTTGCCGCATGGCAGGGAAGACGACGAAGACGGTGCTAGTAGTGTTGCAAGCCGTGGGAGCTCTAACTCTCAATCTTTACTCGGGTCGATAAGTACCGGTTCAAGCAATGAGATGGTCGCACTCAACCGGGATCTGGAAACTGGGCAGTCTGTTGAGACGGAGCTCAATGGGGAAGACCATCTACTGATGCAGTTCAGGGATGAGAACTTGCCATGGAAGGAGATCGTAGCGCGCTTTCAGGAAACCTTCAGCAGGCAGTACGATATACCAACAATGCAGAGGCGCCGTAAGCAACTGGTGGATCTGGCAAACAAGCAATCTCTTGAGTTCGAGTTCAGTGAGAAAGACCGACTACTGCTACAACTCAAAGAGAAAGAGCACATGCCGTGGAAGGACATTGCAGTGCGCTTCTCAGAAGTCTTTGGCACTGATTACCGAAACCGAATACCCGCACTCCAGATGCGTATGAAGCGAGTAAGGGAACGGATACTCGAGCAGTATCTTGCGTCTGGACTCAGTGGGGAAGACCGCCTGCTACTGCAACTCAGCGCCAAAGATCGCATGCCTTGGGAGGAGATTCAAGCGCTGTTCCGGAAAGCCTTTGGCAAGGAGTACGAAATAACCGCACTCGAGTCTCGAATGCAGCAACTTTATGAAGGAATGAATAAGCAGTCACTCCTACCAACCGAGACCAGCCGAGGTCTGCTGTCCGCGGAAATACTACAGCAACTTCCAGACGAAAGTCAAAATCGAATGGCAGTGTTCTCAAATCAAGTGGACGACCTGGACGACCTGGACGACTCGGAAGACGAGCAACTCGAGGATGAACAGCCTGATGAAAACATATTGCCTGAGCACCAGAAACATCTGGAAGAACGGGAAGCGTTTAGACAACACGTCTCATCATTACCAGGAGTTCTATCGGTTCGGTTTTATCGCGGTTATGGCTCATGGACTGGCCTTATCACGTTCGCCGATGATCTGGTGGGCGAACAAGCAACTGCGCTGTTTGACGCTCAGCAATTCCCCAACGTTGTGTTCAAGAGTAAAAGGAACAAAAGCAAGTGGACATTCACCAGAATCACTGGTACGAGCAGTAAGTCGATGTGTAGATGAGATCTACGAAAGCTTGCTATATAATCGGCATACTGACGAACTTTCGCTATAGAGAAGGACGGCTCCTTCGTTCGCCAGTCAACTGTGGATACACAAACCACTGAAGAAGCCGAGATTCTTCCACCCGGATCTGAAACGTATGACGAAGAATATGAAGATCCAAGCAAACAACCAATCATCACAACTGCAGAGATCCCTACGCTACGCTCGCTTTACCAGTCCCGGCGGCTGTTGCAGCGCGATCAGAGCTTTGCGCCAAACGATGCTTACAACCAGTTGATCTCGTTCTGCCATTACGACCTAACGAGACTGAAAGTGGATGCCATAGTCAGCAATGCCTCCGCTAATTTCCAGACCGATCCTGATCCAGATTCTCTGCACCACGCTATCTATAAAGCCGGCGGCCCAGGCCTCAGGGAAGAGGCAAGATCGAAAGCTAAGGTCAAAGTGGGTCAAGCCGAGCTCACCCACGGACACAATCTTCCGAGCTCCTGGGTGATTCACGCAGTTGCACCAGGATATACCGGCCGCAAAGGAGTTGGTCAATTCAACGTCCTTTCCGAGTGCTATCGGAGTGTCATGAGAATGGCGGCTAACTACGAGTTCAAAACAATCGCCTTTCCTTGCCTGGGTACCGGGGGTTGCATGTTCCCTGCACGTGTCGCTGCACGTATAGCGCTGCAAGAGATCAGGGAATACCTGGATTCACATCCTACACATCGACCTGAGCGAATAATCTTCTGCGTACGGGCAGCAGTCGATGAGAAGGCGTATACCGACTTTCTACCGGTTTTCTTCCCACCCACACATGGAGACTTGGACAGAGCCAGAACTTCAGACTGGTCCGCGAATCGTGCTGCGCTGGCAGCTCAGGTACTAGAGGCACGTACGCAACTTCAAAATGCGTTGACTGCAATCACTGTTACCTACGACTTTGGCACGCAAAGTACGGTCTGTGCTCACGACATGCGTCGGATCGACTCTACGCTGAGTTCGATCCGCAAACATCTCTTAGGGTTGAAAGAACTCAAGCGGAGTCTGGGCGATCTCAATCTACTATGCTCCGTGACTTTCACGGCATGTGCTGACATTATGGATATGGCCGAGCGAGCACGTAAACAGGGCCGCGCTGGAAATACGCAGTCTATCTGGACCGAAGCCAACTCCGATATACGAGTCAAGCATGGATTTGAGCTCACGAGTGTCTTTGACTACAGCTGGATCTTCGCCAATAGCTTAGAAGAGGTACTTATACTTGGCAAAGCAGAACCAGATGCGATGGGACGAGCACGCCAGATTCTGGAGACCTATGGTGTCAAACAGAAGGGCCAAGATGCCGAAGGTATCCGCGATCATCTGGATGAGGTACTGTACGTGCGTGAGGCTGAACGTCCTACCCCCAAAGTTCGCGGACTCATCCAAGTTCATCAAATACCCCCCGTAGCGAGGCTCTACATACTGGGCCAACTGGAAGCGAAGCCTACAATGGCGAAACCCTCCACTCTATTCAACCACACTGTATGCTTACTGAGAGAGGACATCACGAGGCTGGAAGTCGACATCGTGGTAAACTCAACCGATCTAAGCTTCTCCGGCATGGGTACTCTAGACCGCAGCATCTTCAAGAAAGGAGGAGATGAACTGCGCTCGGAAGTCTCAACCTTCGGCAAATGCGAAGAAGGCGACGTCAAAGCAACCGCCGGATATCTTCTGCCAGCCAAACACATTCTACATGTCGTTCCGCCTGGAACGTTCAGGAGCGATACCAAGAATATCTTGAGGAACATCTACCGGGCAATCCTGCATGATGCCGTACTCATGAGGGCGACTTCCATCGCGATACCGAGTATCGGAACTGGTATGCGGAATTACCCGCGGCGCGACTGCGCGTCGTTGGCGATGGAGGAAGTGAAGCGCTTTCTGGAATCTGCTGAGCCGGGTAATGGGCTTGATAAGATTATATTCGTTGTCTTCTCTTCCAATGACGAGTTTGTTTACAAGAGCCTTTTGCCGGTCTACTTTCCGCCAACGAAGGGCAATACTTCGCCGACTATCTTGGCGGAGCAGCCTGCGCAGGTCGAGGGAAGTTCCTTTTCGTCATTACCGGCTACCACAGATCAGCCTTCCCCGTCCATCCCAGGAGAAGAGACTACTCGCAGTGTCCGATTTGGCAAGCAGCCGGTAAAGTCGCGGGCCTGGAACGACGACGAAGCCAAGACTCTGATGGACTTTGAACTACATGTCGGAACTTGCAAAGTGTGCGGAAACGGCCTCTATGAGAGCACTCAAAGGATTTGCGATCTGGGCTTTCATTTGGCCGAAGCAGTTACACAGCGAACGGAGATGTCTGAAGATGCGCTCGTGTACAGCAAAGCGGACGAGCAGGGCCAAAGGGAGCAACTGGAGATGCCGGTGGAACAATTGCCCAGTACCATGATGTTTCTCTCCACCGTCGCGAGAGATAGACGTTATATGTCTGAGAATGCATCTGCTCAAGTCGAAAAGCCTGACACGACAGACTCTGATACGCCTGCATTGGAGAACCCTTCGGTACCAAAAGACCTGGACGATATTTCGCACGCTACAGAGCAACCCGCGGTAGTCCGAGTGGAAATCTTGTCCCCACGCACCGATACTGGAGACTGGTTCTACTCATGGGTTCGAGTCTTCAGGAGCAAGATCGAGATGTACTCTGGGGATTATGATCCTGATCCATACGGAGAATCTACTGGACATATGCCGTATGCGTCCATGGATTTTACCGATACGACCACAAACGTGGACGGCGGCAAAGGCAACATTGTATCTTTGTGGACAGTAACGCAAGGACTAGACCAGGGAGAAACATGGCGTTTTCGTAGCTCTGAAGTTGCTGATTCAATCGCGCTTCTCGAGCTTTTCAAAAGAGCTATCAATCGTGGCCGTTGGGAGCGGGAGAAGAAGTTAACAGCGGAGGTTGGAGAAGCGACAAGCCCCCAGCCAACAGTTGACGCGAAGAGAGAACGGGACATTGCTGAAGATCGATCTGCTGATGTCAACAAACCTGATGCTGCGAAGCTCGACGTTCAAGTCCAGAAAGATGACAAGGCGGCCCACTTTTCGGAAGCCGAAGATGCGAATGTTGTAGCACCAGATGCGGGGCCACGTGCTGTGATCCGTGTCGAGACTCTCGCGAAGTCGCGCGGAGCTTCCGATTGGCCGAACGCCATTCTATACGTCTATGAGGGCAAGATTGTTGTGGAACTTGAGAAGAACGATGGCCCAGACCAACCATATACGACAATAGACCTCACGAGTGGTATTCCACATCTGGGCCGCCGACGTGGGGATCCTGGAATCGGCCATGTGGATACGGCGTGTCTACGGGTGACAAGCAGGGGAGACTGGGAAGAGGGAGGCTGGGAAAGCACATGGTACTTTCGCAGTCACGGAGAGTCTGATACAGACGCAATGTTCAATGTCCTTCAGGAAGCCGTTGATCGCAATAGGAAAGTAGGGAAGAAAATAGCGTCTACTGGGGTCGAAGAAATGACAAGCCCGGGACCAACGACTGCGCCAATTGCACAGCGCGAGGGAACTGGAGAAGCTTTCGATGCGTCGTCTTATCCTAAATGGAACCAAAGATTACGCGACATCAAAGATCAAGCCGATGACAAGCACCGCACCAGAGGAGAAACCGTTCCAGCATACGACGCGCCAGCAGATAGTACATCCAACTCGGGCAGTGGTTCAACCAATTTGGAGCCAGAGTCAGGGGAGCTTACTCTAAACACACGGATCCTTGCCTACCTTGATGATGATTTTAAGACCCGACCTGGCTCGTACATAGGTCAGAACTTCAAGGAGATCGCTTCTAGCCTCGAGTCCTGGCGCCCTAGTTCCATCACCGATGCTTTACGAAGGCTAGCTGCAGAAGGAAAAGTCCACAACACTGTTGACGGTGAGACATGGGTTATTTCGAGACCATACACTGAGCTTCGTACATCGGACCGAGAGAACCAACCAGAGAAACCAAGCGAGACTGGTACAGATGCTCTCGCTAATCAAGTCTTGATATACATGAATCGTGTAAACGGCATAGCACTGCTCCTTTCCATGGTCAAGGTGCTTCAAACTTCTACCAACGCATTATGGCCTGCGATTAGGTACCTAAAAGCCAACGATCTCATCTCTAGTCAGGCTGGCGAACAGGTCTGGACCTTGACCGACAAGGGTAGAACAAGAGTACGCGAGTTACGGTTGCAAGCAGCAAAAGCAGGACAAGACATCGCGCAAGCTACTGGATCAAACCCCAATGCAAGACCCAGCCCGTCTAGCTACTGGTCTACCTCCGAATTGCAGGATTTCAAAATCAATGCTGCACGCTTTGGCACGGACTGGACAGCAATGGCGAATCACATGGGTACAAAAACATCTACTATGCTCAAAAACAATTACCTACGTCTTCTGGAGATGGACGGCCCAGAATTGGAGCAGTTGGCACAGGAAGCAGATGCTCGAAACGCTCCCGCTTCTCAACAACTTGCTACGGAGACTCTCGAGTCCATGAAGCAGCCCACATCAGATGAGGCCAACGCTATTGCTGAAAAGCGCGTTGATTCCGAAGCTGAGCCAGAAAAAGATCCCAACAAGGATGAGGATACATCAAACAACCTAGCCGACCGTGTTTTATCTTACCTGAGAAGCCCGCTTGGAGTGAGCAGAAACATATCGGATCTCGCGATTACATTTAATACTCCGGTCGCTGAGCTTCAACCAGTACTCAAACAGTTGAGATTTGATGGGTTGGTGGAGAACGGGGAGGATAAGTCGATCTGGACTGCGACAGTTTCAACTCAACATTTTCGTCCACAGTCGACTCGCGCGGGGCTCACACCCCGTTCTCCAACCGCAAAGTCAAATGTACTTACGTATCGCAATCGTGGTGGCTACAACAGAGTTCTATGCTCGAACTGGCAAAAGCATGGCCATCCTTCAGACTACAACTTTGTCGATGAAGAGGATGAGCTGTGCGCTCATTGCATTCAGGCACCGAGACGGGAAGGTGCAGTCGTGGAGAGCGCTACACATGATGATGACACTTCGACAACCCACGTCCGACCGACTGGCTCAGGATCTTCGATTATGGACGCTGCAATTAACAGCGGACAAATTTATATCTCCGAGTCCTCCAGCTATGATAATCGCCCCTGGAATCAAACACCTCTACCTCGTACACAGATCCCTACGAGTTTCATAGATGAACGCATTCTTATAGAGCAAGGGTTTAAACCCGACAAGGAAGCTGGTATTTATTATGTGGAACGCAAAGTCGGACCCGAGGAAACTGGGGAATGGCTCAGGCAGACGAAAGAGCTACAGATAAAGGACTCCCAGGTCCCGCAAGAACCTCCAGAGGAGACTCAATCCGTGTTCGCCGAACGAGGCAGCGACTCAGGCGAAGACTTGCAGATGGGGCGGTCAGATCGTGATGAGTTTGTTGAGAGCGTTGAAAGCATCGCCAAGGCAGAAAGACGCGCTGGATTGAGGGACTCAGAAATCGAAGAAGACACGGATACAGATGATGCCATGGTCATGAATTTCGCGCAGACGAACAGGATGAAGCCACCAAGCTGGATTCATGTCAGGCGCAGCAAGAGCCAAAGCCAAAGCCAGGGGTCCGGAGCTTTGCATTCTGGGAAGAAAAAGCTGGGCCATGCCACAGAGGGTGACGATGGAAATTCCGGTCGCGACATTCTCGATCCCATAGTCGCTATACCCGAAAAGGAAGGGTATGATCGCCTAACCTCGAAGCCAGCAGAGGCCACCCCGAAAGCTCCTGCTACTGACCAAGCTTCCAGTTGGAGAGACGGCAGGGGCACAAAAGAAAGGAGGCAGACCAGATTCAGTAGGGCAATGACAGGTGATATTGAAGAAGACGTGGAGTCAGGCACAGCGAGTAGCTTGAGAAAAGCGAGGGTTGTAAGGGAAAGGAAACACAATGAAACGAGCAAGGCAAAGAAGGAAGACATTGATGACGAACTGGAGGACTACGATGGACAGGAGGAAGACTTTGTATAACTAGAGTGAGATATATGACGAGAGCGTGGCCTGGCCATTCGGAGGAAATTATGACATCTCCTCCGCTATTGATGTGAAGTGCATTCAGAACTCACAAACGTAGTGTTGATGTGGTAAATCGCCTAGTTCACACTCCAAGTTCAACAAGTACATACCTCAACCTCCAGCATCACTCCTCACAAACAGCAACACCCGCCTCCCCCTCCGCAATCGCCCCCATAAAGTCCCCTACATCCTCCCCGCGCTCACCAAGCACAAACTCCAAAGTCGCAACCCACGTCTCCCCATTATTCGTGAACCAATCATACTTAGGACACAGGCTCCTCACGTAGCCCTCGACCATGCCCTTCAGCGGCGCATGTTCCTTCAAGTAAAGTATCTGAGCCGGATCAAGCTTCATATAGTCCTCAATAACGTAGTAATGCGGGATATCGTCGCCCCAGCCTTCAGCACCGACTTCGTGGGAGGGGTGGAGCGAGTATTTGGACGCGGCGTAGCGGGAGGTGTAGGTGGGTGTGTTGTTGAAGTGAGTCGAGAGCGGGTTGGGCGTGAAGGGGTTGAAGGCTTGCGGGGCGGTGGGTGGGTAGTTGAGGTGGATGTTGAAGAGGAGGGAGTGCTCGTTGCCCGGGTGTCGCTTTTTGAACTTTCGGGCGATGGTGCCGTTGGAGGGGCAGACGTTACTTTGGACGACTTCGCGTATGACGGCGTGCACGTCGGCGATTTCGGCGAGTTCCCAGGTGCTCCAGTTGTGGAGGAGGGCTGCGCGCTTGAGCAGCACGAGGCGGGACGCGCGGGCTTCGCGGGGGTGGTCGCTGTTGTGGAAGGCGCGGGAGTAGAGCCAGATTCTATAGATGGCTCGTCTCACGAGATAGCGCTCGTCTGTTGTCAAGAGACGCCGGCTTTCGAAGTTGTGCTTCCACTTCTTGAACGGGTAGATGTCGCACCATTTCTCAGCTGTGCGCCCATGCTGCACGATCTGCTTGAGCAGCGCGAGAGAGAAGGGGACGGAGCGGACGATGTGTGCAGGCTGGCTTTTGTTGTGGGTCAGGAGTTGAGTGAGGTCTTCTAGCGGACCGAATTGCGTTTCGGCGGCCTTTTCGAGTATGGGTAGTTTCTGGGAGGAAGAATAGATGTTGCGGAAACGGCGACAGGTGGCAGATAGCGCTGTCACGTCGTTGACTGAACGGCATGATAGGTACACCTGCACAACAAGCTCCGTCGCGAGATCTTCGAACAGCATCTTGAAGGTGGTTGTAGGGTAGGGGAGCGATTTGGTGGCTGGATCTCAGTCAGCAATGAATCCATATGATAGAAGACACACAGCACGGTATATATGAATGGAACTCACCTGTGATCTATCAAGTATACGCGTGTCTTAAGCCCGCGTTAGGTGCTGAGTTGTCTCTTGTGACAGTGATGTGGATATCGAATCAATCTCTTCCTCTCTTCACTATCCTTCGACCAGTCTCGTATATCGATCTATCGATCTAATCGGTGCGTAGCTATCTCGCCTCTACACCGACACGTATCGCGTGGTTCAAACAAATCGGACCCCTCCGTTGGGGCTATAGGTAGAAAACGCGACGACATTCTGGAAAGACATGGTGCAAGTCAATGCAAGCTCTGGCGAGCTGTCTCTGGAATGGGAGGTCATCGTTAGTGGTTGGAAAGAGGGAAAGGAGTCATCAGTCGTGACGACCGTGGACGTGATGGATGCCGCCAAGGGGGCTAACCCGGATTGTGGGGGCCAATCGGCGTGGAGACGGGAGAGCACCGATGGCGTCAATGAGCAGCGCCAGGCATGCCGCATGAAGATGCGCATGTCTTCACAACATGCCATTGCAAGTCCAATGCCACAGGATAACGAGCGCATCATGCAGCACTCCACAGACACCGCATCCTCCCAGCCATCCCCGCTCCTCCGCCTCCCAATCGAGCTCCGCCGCCTAATCTACAGCCACGTCCTCCCCCACACCACCACCTTCGAAGTGCGTTTCCAGCACCCTCCCGACCCACCCCCAAAGTCCGAATACAATCTGACCTTTGTGCGGCAGAAGAACGGCGACGGGGGCTGGCGCATGCAACGCACACTACCACGCACAGAGCGCGAGACAGGCAACGACACAGTCTGGCGGCGCGGGCACACGAGCCTCCTCGCCGTGTCGCGACACGTCCACGAAGAAGCTGCAGACATGCTATACGGAGACAATATCTTTGTGATTGACGTGACGTTCGACGCGATCAACTTTCGGTATCGATGGCGCACGGCGAATAATCTTACGCCGAACCGGACGTATCCGTTCTTGGATCACTTCTCGCAGAGGAATCTGCTGAGGATTAGGAACTATGTTGTTAATGTTGAGTCTGTGGATGATTATACGGGGATGATAAAGTATAATTGCGGGGGTAGAGGCTTGCCGGCTGGCATAAAGAGTAAAGTACGGGAGCTGGTTGATCTGTTGGTTGTTGCGCCGCAGTTATATCGGCTGCAGGTGCATCTTATAGATGGCGCGATTAGTCGCGTGAGGTTTCCTAGTGGACGGGTACATCGTGTGCAGGACGAGGGTAACTATGCGCAGACACAGCTAGTGCTTGATCCTTTTAGGGCTGTATATGGAGTCAGACAGGCGGTTGTTAGTGGTGTTGATGATGAGTACAGAGAAGCCTTGGAGAAGAGCATGACTGCTGACAGGACACACTGATATCACCAAAGGATAAGGAGTACTTGGGTTAACGGTCGCTCGCAATGAGCTACCCATTAAACGATAGCTTTTGGGTATATCGCTATACATACATACGGGCCTGTGTCCAGCCCAGAATCGACGCCAATCTAAATAAGACGATGCATTCCATAAACGCCATTTTTCCTTCCCTCGAAACATGGCAAACAATTTTACGCGAACAGCACATTGTCGCTGAGCGGGTCCTTCTCTTTCCTGACTCCACCGTGCGATGTCAAACCCAGGTCCTGGTGCTTGAGCAGAGTATCCCTCTGCGCGTCGGTCCTCTTGTTGAACCTGCCGGCCTTTGATTTCCTCAAGTCGGAACGGATCTGGTTGGGTGAAACGAACTCCTTGTTTTCGTAGATGATTGGACCTCCGAAGCTGGACTCCTGGATAACGATGGGAGTGAGGACGAAACGGGGGCCGATTTCGACTAGGTTGACATCAAACTCGCTTCCCTTCTTCTTCTTGGGCGCCTCATCGACGTCCATCTCTTCGCCATCAGCAGGCTTCTTCTTGCTGGTCTCGCTCTCGTTGATTTGGAACACGCGGATCCAGATCTTGCCGTCTGCGACTGTGAAACCCATCACGTGGTCTACGAAAGGCTTGACCTTTCGGCTCGTCTTGGGGACGCCGAAAATCTGGGTGAAGAGCTCCTTGATCACGCGGAGATGGGCCTGCTTGTCGAAGGCGGCGTCGAAAGAGAGGACTGGTCGCGATCCTTTCAGGCAGTTGCCAATAAAGTTGAGCTCTTCCATGGTGTGCAAGTTTTGCAGGTGCATCTTTACAGTAGGACCGTTGGGTGGCTTGGACATCCAGCAGTAAAGATCCTTGCCCTTGCGAGCTTCGAAGAAGAGGACATTGTTGCAGTTGTAAAGTTCTGCTAGTTCGTTGAGTTGGTAAAGCTTGGTCTTGGTGTCAAGTTTGGCTTCTTTCCGGCTATGGGGCCTTTCCAAATATCAGTAAATGAAGTTGTCTGATGGCGCAAACCACTCACATCAACGAGTACAAGTCCTGTAGCAAGTGTCGGTGACGGAAAGTAACACCTCTTGAACTCTGACAATCATCAGCATGGGTCTCGGTTTGCGCCGCGCGTGGAATCGTACCAGAATAAGGACACGCTGCTTGTTTCTCTGTACGCCCGTTTCCTTCTCCTCTTTCTCCGCGCCGGACAGGGTCTTGTATACGGAAGCCATGGTGATTTCAGGCGGTTGTTGCTGCGCTTGTCGGGGTGGATGCGCCTCTGCAAAAAAGTTCGAGAATTGATGCCGCCCAGAGTTTTAGCGCGATCTACGCTCGGGCCGCGCTACGACCGAAGGAGCTAGAGCGGATGGAGTCTTCGCGGCATGGTCGCGCCTTCCGTCACCGTCGTGGTGAGGCTTCATCCAATGGGCGTTTGCAGCCCCAACATTCTGCCCTGCTCGCTTTTGTGCCTGCGTGTTGGCATTGTCGCGTGCACGAGAGACTCGATGGAGATGGCAATGTATACAGAGTCAGCCATCGGATGGCGAGGAAATGAGATGCGCACGTCCGCCGTGGTCCAGAGGCTCGTGGTAGATTAGCCGAAGCTGGCAACGCCTCAACCCGGCACGCGGAGCAGCGACGAGTTGTAGGTGCTGAGAAGGGAAATAAGAAATGCTCAGGCGGCGGCAGCGAGTAGCAGCAGAGTGCCGGAATCGAGGACACTCAGGCAGACCGGCACAGACGAGAAGCGGCTGCACGCTGCATGGCGCCGTTTGCATGCACGCAATTATTGGTCGATGCACCCATCTGGGCGTGTATGCTCCTACGAGAGATGGGGTTCAGGTGCTTTGTTAAGAGGCACGCCCAGCAGCGCAGCAGCGTCGCAATGAAGGTCCCCACGCGTAATGCGGCCATGCCAGACATGCTCGACGCAGTCCGCAGCCCGCCGTGTCACATGTTGCGAGCGTGTAGGGCGTCGCAGGCTCTCCATCAAACCTCATCGCGGCTCTGCATCACGCCCGGAGCTGCTCCAGGACAGAGTTGCCGCAGCCGCACTAAGCAGAAGCTGACTTGCCAACCGTTCGTGTGTGATAGACGGCGCTCAAGCAGCTCCACACCAGCCCCCATCCCATCTTCCCTCTTCCATCTCGTCGTCGTCGCATCCACATCGCCAACTGCCCGACGACCATCGCCGGCAGCCCTCGCCCACGGCGCATTCCCTCTGCTGTCGTCGCCGCGCTCCCTGCGCGCCCCACCGCCAGTGCCTGCTGCGTGCGGCCCATGGAGCAGCCTCTCCGCCGTTAACAAGCCCTC